AAGGGAAAGAATGCAGAGCTGGAGCTTGGGAAGGACTGCCGAGTGGCCCCAGGGAGCGAAGAGAGAGGACGGGGGGCGGGAAGAGCATGGACCGTAAGGAATCGAGCCCAGCGGCTTGACGACGGGCACGATGATCGTGCCGCTCCGGGAGGGTGTTGAGAGAAGGCATGTGCGAGGTAGCCAAGGAGAAGGGTGGAAGGCAGGGTGAGAGGAAGGGAGGGGAGTAGGAAGGTGTCGACAGGGCCGGGGAGCGGTCCGAGCGATCCCTCCCCCCTCCACTCTCGCCGCACCAGGACTCCACGAAGTTCTTGGCCGAGGGGGGACGCTGCGGTTGCCAGCCCCAACCTGCAGAGCCCAGCTCTCGCCCAGGGGACCACGCGAAGGGCGGGCGGGTGGTCATTGCTTCGTCGCGCCGGCAGCGGTGTGCATGCAACCCGGGTACACCCTCCGTGGCACGAGGTCCCTTCCAGGGCCGCCTCAGTCCTTCGATCATGCGGGCAGGTGCGGAAGGCGTTTCCTCCCTATTGTGATACTTTTCGCCGCTGAACGTTTGTTCATACGCTTCTTTCGTGTCGCGGCTTGGCCCCTCCCTGTCTTCCTCCTCCGCCTCTGCTCCGTCTCTCCCGTCCTCTGCGTGGCCCCTGTGCCGCCCTTTTTTATAACCCATGCTTTCAAAGTCCTTCAGGAAAGACAACTTGCTCTTTCCTTGTCCTTTCCAAGTCCTCCTCTTCGCCGCATGCCTTTCCAAACGCTCGTCAAGAAGTACACGGAGGTCCATGACGTCATCCTCTTCCTCCACTTCCTCCTCCTCCTCCTCCCCCGTCACATTCATTCCTGCCTCCTCCCCATCTTTTGTCTTCACCACTTGTTCTTCTCCTTGATTTTCATGCGTGTCAAGTGTCCCCTCGAGCGACCTCAGGCTTCTCTCCTCCTCCTCCTCCCTCCTCTCCCACCTCATTCTCTCTTTGCCTACCAGCCCTCGCGTTTCGACCCGCAACATCCCGGGGCCCACGCATCTTTCCTGCCCCACCTGGCCCTCGAAGCGTCCATCATTATAGGTTGCCGTGATCGTGCACTCCGGTCGATGAGAGGGCGGCACACAGGATGCCCCGTTTGCCGCCTGCCTCTCCTCCACGCTCCACTTCTTTCCCCTGAAATACGGATGCTTCAGGGCTTGCTCCGCTGTGGGCCTCTGCTGAGGTTTCAACCTCAGCAAGGATTTTAGAAGGTCAGCAGCTTCGGGTTCCACCCAAAGGGGCAAGAGTCTGGCAAGGCCCTCGGCCCTCCCCTGTAGCTTCCCTTCTCGCCCCCAGCCCTCCGTGCTCGCCGAGCCCAACACGTTCTCCACCATCGCCAGAGTCTCTGCCTCCGAATCACCAGGAAAAAGCGGTTGGAGGGTCAACAGCTCGTAAAATACGCAGCCCATGGCCCATATGTCGACCGGCCAGCCGTAACTGGAGGAGTGACGGATGATCTCAGGAGCGCGGTACCAACGGGTGCCAATGTAGGTGGTCAGCGGGGCAAAGGACCCAGAACGAGAGGAGCGGGCGAGGCCGAAGTCGGCAAGTTTTATGCGGAAAGATTCGGCGCTTTCGTCATCGGTGCTCGTGCCCCCATCCTTCGCACACGCGAGGGTGTTGCCCCGATGAGGAGGAGGCGAATGGCTTTTCGACAATGTCGACAAGTTATCAGTTTTTGACCATGCTCCTGTCTCGTTCGCTCGGCCCTCCTTCCCTTTCATCTCGAGGACTCGTTTTTCTACTTCCGCCCCTTCTCTTCCAGTCCTGTGCAAGAGTAGGTTCTCGGGCTTGATGTCCCTGTGGATGAGCCCTCTTTCATGTACACAGGCGAGCGCCTGGAGTAATTGGCGCATGACGGTCCGTATCACCACTTTCTTCTCAGATCTATCCTTACTTAGCCATATGTTATCTCGAATCATGCTTTCATAAAGGTTTCCTCCATTCATATAGTCAAAAAGGAGGAAGACGGTGCCGTGGCAATCATAGATCAAGTCTTTCAAGTGAGTGATATTTGGATGCGGTGGAAGACATCGCAAGGCTTTGACCTCCGGCAATTTAAGGCACTGTTGCCATGTCGTGTACTTTTTTTTCAAGCGTTTAATTGTCACCATCTGTGTGAGGTAAGCCGGGTTGTATTTTTGACACGTCAGATTCACAGGCCATAACATCGTTTTCGGACACGAAGGAGCTGAATGATAGTTAAACTTAATAGGAAAGGTAAAGCGCCATTTCGCAGGGACTTTTTATAATCGAGCTGACATGATATATAGAGGCAACGTGCCTCGTTGTCGCCGCCCATCTTACCTCTCCTGTGATCTTGTGCTGGCCTTTCCAGCACGTCGCATAACTTCCCTCCCCGAGCCTTTCGAGAATATCGTAGCTATCCATACTGTTTTAAACTAATGCAAAAATCATAAAGGTTGTGCAAAAATCCAACCTTTTTAATGCTGTCTTATGAGAAGAGAAAAGCCGGGGGGTACGAAAAGCCGGGGGGTACGGGGGTGAGGGGAAGAAGTATTCACCACCGACAAGCCTTCTCCCAAATCACACCGTGTCCCAAAAGGACATCAAACTATATTTTGCGCATAAATAATACTTCTGCATTGAAAATATACGGTCGGCCCATTGCCTTGCGTTCACGAAAACGAGTTGAAGGAACTGGGAACGTAGCGAGAGGAAGCCACGTGATCTTTGGGTTCGTTTCAGGAGCCCATGTGAGGGGTAGTACGCACTTTTTCTTCACTGTTATCCAGGCCACTCCCACCGCAAATTTCGCCATCGAATTGGTGAAATGCATGCATGACGCTCGAGCTAGCCTTGGTTGCTACCACTATCACTTTCTACTGATCTTAACTGCTAAAAACTTTAAGCCGTGTGAAAGAGAAAGAATGCAGCGGTATGAGAACCGAGAGGATAGATGAGGGGGGAAGGGAAGAAAACAATTGGTAAATACAGGATACCCTTTCGACTTACATTGACTCATGCCCTCCAGCTTCAATTGAGATTCCGCCAACGTCTTCAGGGCCCAGTATAGGCCTCGTAAAGCCGCCCGAAAGGTCATTTTTTTTCCCGCTTGGGACCCTCAAAGGAACCGATGACGTTTGGGTACGTAAACCATCATAAGGAAGTAGCCTTGCCTACCTGACATGACGCGTGGGTATGTAATTCATCACATTTCCACAGCCCGGCTGCTGAAGCAGGCAATATTGCTACCACTTAGCCGGGGAGTGCTTTTGGCCATGAGGCTGTAAAAGCGTGAGCATCGGCATAAGTGCTTTTTGAAAGGAGGTACTATCATGTGAAAGGGGCCGAAGGGGATAGGAATACTTCAACAAGAGCGTTCGTGACCGCAGACATGCATCATCACCATGTTCGGGATGCTTGCGTTGACCGACAGACAGGCAACAAATTTTACCTTCCCGCTTTGGTTTTTTCTCCAACAGAAAAACACGTCAAAGTCTTTGAGACGTATGCGTCGTCGGTAGCATCTGTTTTTTCTCCGTATAAGAATAAGATCAAACATTAAATGCTTCCCGGCCGTGCATTTCAGCCGCCTGGAAGAGAACAAGAGCAGGAGCAGAGTGGCCCTTCTTTGCCTCCCCGAAACCCCTGGCAACTGCAGCAGCAAAACTATGAGTCAATATCTGGACATGGACCTGCTACCGCAGAGCAACGCCCGCCAGTGGGCCTTCCTGGAGTCGATGTAGGAGGGCGCCAAGATCAACCACCTCCTACTCCTTCCGCCGTACCCTCCCGGCCCACCATCTCCACGCCTGGTCTCTCACTGTCCTCATCTTACTCCTTTCAAGGGCAGCAGGCTCAGCATGGACAGTCACAACAACAAAGTGAAGACAGACAGCCTCCCTCGGTCCTACGGTATGCGGTGAACGCGCCTCACTTTGTCCCCAAAGCGTCAACAGAGAGCCCCGCTCTTGGGGCCAACGCCAGTCCCTCTCTACCCGCTCAAGCTAGTTTCGGCAATTTGAGGTCCACAGCCATGTCCTTCGAGCCAAGTGCTGCCTCAAATAGGCTGGACATGGGGGCCGTACCCTTCGTGCCCGGGGGCGGGGGGGGAGGCATTGGGAGAAGCAGGAGCAGCGCCGGCGACTTAGAGATCCTCCGGGTGTCTTCTTCCGCCTCCGTGGACGGCCTCAACACCCAAGCCATGCCGTTTGAACCCGGTGGTAGCCGCGGTGGGGGCGGCGCGACCGCGGGGCTACCCTATGGGGGAGAGGCGGAGGAAGACGACCTCGGTGATTCCCTAGTCAACCCCCTCCATCATTACGGGGACGAGATCTTCGACTGGTCCTTTGGTGGGAGTTCTCTCCCGGCCCCCCCTCGCATGACCTTGCAGCGCATGGGGGTGCCCGAGCAGTTGCGGCAGTTCTTCCTCTTGAAGGACCTGGACAAGGGCCGGAGTCTCCCTCCAGACGACCCCCGCTACAAGGAGATTCCCCCAGGCTTCCACCACGCCTACCCCCTGGACGACGCCCAAAAAGCTAGGGGAACGGCGGGGGCCTTTGGCTACCCCAGCGTCACGTACAAAGTCCTCTCTCACGAAGACGGTCGGGTCTACGCCCTCCGTCGCTTCGATTCCGTGCGCTCCACCCCCAAGATCGTGGCGGGGGCGCTGGAGACTTGGCGCCGGATCCAACATCCCAACATCATCCAGCTGAGCAAGGTCTTTATTCAGCACGGAAACGCCCTCTTTTTCTTGCACGAGTATCATCCAGGGGCGCAAAGCGTCACCCAACGCTACGTCGACTCCTCCCGCGGGCACTCCGGCGCCCGCCCTTCCCGCCTTCCCGAGAAACTTCTCTGGTCTTTCGTGACCCAGCTGGTCTCCGCCATTCGGGCCGTGCATGCCGCCCAGGCTGCCTGCCGCATGCTCCACCCGAACCACGTCCTGGTCACCACGGGGGCGCGTCTCCGCCTGGGGTGCGCGGGGGTGGTGGACGTGTTGGAAAGCGAGACCCGCAAGACGTTGGCCGAGCTCCAAACCGAGGACCTGGCCATGCTCGGTCGACTGATCTTGACCCTGGCAACCCGCACGCTGCCTACCCCCCAGAGCCTCGGGGCCGCCCTCGCGCAAGTACGGCAACAGTACTCTCCGGAGCTCCATGCCTTGAGCCTGCAGCTCTGCAGCAAGCCCGGCTTACTGAGCGTCTTTGAGCTCGTGCCCCTCCTGTCTCGGTATGCCCTGGACGAGCTGGACCGGCAGTACGCCGCCGCGGACGACCTGGAAGGACACCTCTCCCACGAGTACGAGTCAGGGCGTTTGTTCCGTCTGTCCCTGAAACTCGCCCAAGTGACGGGGCGGGCGGAGGCCATGGAGGGGCAGGACCCAGCCTGGAACGAGACAGGCACGCGGTACATCCTGAAGCTATTCAAGGTTAGGGGGGGGGG